AAAACAATACAAAATCAAAATTAGAAGTGTCTTATAAAAAATTAAACATAAGAATAATAAATCATGAGATAAAATATAGTTCTGGAAAACTCAATTACTTTGTGACCTTTCATGGGGAAAGTAAAAATTGAATAGATCGATCTTTATTGTTTATATATTATCTCACCGGATAAACTCACATACTCTAACCTTTATCTTTTTAATTAATTTCTTTTTCATTCGAAAGGTTGAAAGTTTGAAACTCTATCCACGTAGAATTTCCCATGAATCCTCGTCTATCTACCTTTAACCACTCCATCCTCTCAACCTGATACTCATCTAAATCCTCCATTGAAGTGCCTATCATTCGCTCTAGAAAAGAAACTCTACTCAAAGGGGGAACATAATCGGGTGAAGAAAACAAGAAAACACTATGATTCGAGATCAACATTTCTCCTCCTAGTGTTGCTCGTAATAGGTGATAAATATTGCAGGAGACAAACAAATCTCGTTCTCAATTTTACGCCTAGAAAAAGAGTTGTAAATCCTTTTTAATTCATATTCGTGATAAGTAGTTGGAGACTAATTCAGGAGCATGATTTTGAAAGGATTATGTGGGTGGTGTAAAGGGTAAACAACGGTCACCGGAGATGGTGGTGGTTAGTTTTATTAAGGAAGGGGATGAGTAAGCTTAAGGGGAAGGGACAAGGTCATCAGGGAAGATGAATGGGGCTTTGTGTATTTTAGTCATTTTGGTTTTTGTTCCGGTGTGTTCCATCCAAAAGGATGGGACTAAAAATTCAACAGTTAGTCCTATTGGACTTGGTCAAATCCCCACTCTGTTCTTGTTCCAGATGTACCAAACGCCTTTTTAAAAAAATTGTTATGTTCAGTTCTACTCACCAAACATGGCCTTAATGAATAGTAAACTTGTATGTTTTTTTTTTGTTAATTTGGCCTTTCTTTTTTAGTCATTTTGATACTTTTGTCATTGGAATCAAAATTTTTATATTTTTAGGAATCTTTTAATATTTAAAGTTTGGTCACAACACTTTAAAAAATTAACAACTTTGGTCTATTTTTTAAAAACTTGTTAATTTAATCTCCTTTAATTCTTCAGTCATTTTGACACTTTTGACCCTTACAGTCAAAACTTTTATATTTTTTCATAAAAAAAAAAAACACAAAAAACGGTTCGGAGTGAAGCTTGAGTTTTTCGCTAGTTCAATTAAAAAAAGATTATATGTTAAAGAAAGGTTGTCAAAAGGTTTTGATAAATAATTTTTTTTAATGAAAAATCGAATTTACTCCTGTTCCACTCCTAATATCACATACGTCTCGCATGAAATTTAAACATTCGACCTAATACAAGAAAACATCCACACTGATAAAGTTTTCATTCAAAAGTCAACAAATCCAAAAAGCTTACCATATGGTCACTATAATAAAAAAAAATTATAATGGTTACTTGTGGATCCCGTTATATTTGACATATTTATAATCTAAAAAAAATATATTAAAAAAGTTGAAAAATCTTATGTTACAATAACTACAAAAGCTTATTGAAAATGTTTATCAGATGACCATCTCATATGATCCTCAAGGAGGCTCGTGGTGGCCATGATGACAACAAGCACGACTGTGCACGTCATCCCAATGGCTACGTGTCGTCTTCTTTTTCTTTCTTCTTTCTTTTTTAAATGGCCTAAATGGAAAATGCCCCACAAGTATTAGTTTCGTTTTTTTTTTTCCAAAATGTTTTAAGAAATTTATTATTAAAGTGATTGTTCAAATGATGTATTTGTGAAAGTTAGATAGAAGATATAAGTTATAGGTTTTATTTATATAGAAATGTTAGTAAAAATAGTTATAAACTTTCGAAAGATATAAAATATAATAAATTACAAAATTAAAAGTTAAAACTCCTAACAAAGACTTCTTGAAGTAGTTTTGGTCTTTTGAATTTGAATTTTTTTTAATAAACTAAAAGCTTTAAAATAATACAACCAAAATAAGTTTTTTTTTTTTTTTTTTTTTTTTTTTTTTTTAAAACTCGAATTATTTTAAAAACTTAAAATGTTGATCGTCAAACACATCTTAATTAAGGTTACTAATTGAAAATTTTAGAAGCTTAAAGGCATCATCAATTGTTAAGCTTTAAAATAATTAATATTTTTGACATATGAGATTTCTATTAATATTTGTTAGATAAAAACTTATTCTAAAAAAAATTCTAATAGATAAACCATTACAAAAGATTTGTTTTACAAAACAAATTTATCCTTTTTATCTTCAATATTTATACAAATCTTTCATCTAATATGTTCCTATTTTTAAACAAATATAATATTATTTATTTTCAATGTTTATACAAAATACATCATCCATTGTTAACCTAAGAAATAAATAATTATTATTTTATGTCAGTATTAAACATACGCTAAATTTTATTTTGAATACAAAATTCATCCTTTTTTATAATGTTTACAAAATTCTACCATCTAGCTTGTTATTTTTAAATATATGATATATTTCTTAAATTAATATTATTTTGTTGATGATAAAATTATTTATCAAATAAATTTATTTATTTTTATCATATATTTAGAAAAATATATTAACGAATAAAAAAAATTAAAAACAGTTAATCATCTCTAATAAATTAAGGTTTTTTTTTTCCATTTTTTGGATTCTCATTCAATTGGTCAAATGCCATTTTGTGGTTATTACAATTTTTTTCACATGTCATTTTATGAATTTTTTTTTCTATTTTATTAAATTTCACATAATATTTAAATAATATTTAAATGTAATAATTATAATAAATGTAGTAATAAATTGATATTAATTTCACTAATAAATTACCTTTTAATTTCCTTATTTAAATTATTTCTTTAAATTTAAAAGATAAAAAACATTTACATTATAATAATTTTTTATTATTTTCTTATAAATTTAAAGTTTTCAAATATTTTGACATTTATATTTAACATTTTTTTATAAACTTAATCCATTTAATACATGAGTTTCACAATTAGTATATAAATACAAATTGAGATTTAAAATCAAATTTACTTAGGTCCCGTTTGATAGTTGCTGATTGAAAAAAATGTCGACTGAGAAATATCTGTCATTGAATAAGAAATCATGTTGTTTTATTGTACATCTGACTGAATATGCTGACTAATGAAAAATGACCATTGTACCCTTCACAAACTATTCAAAAAGGAAACCCATTCTCTTAAAGCATAAATAAATATAGAATTTTATGAAGATAGAAGCTAAAAACCTTATTTTAATATCTTTTACGGACACTTTTAAAAAATTAAATGATATCCTTAATTACCTAAAGACGTTATGATCATCAATATTCAAGTAGAAAAAACAAGTAGTGAACATAATGGCTTTTCTTATTAGGTATATAAATCCCCACCCTGAAAAACAAACACCAAGAATTAATTCATTTGTAGACATTATATTCAAAACTCATTGCTGCTCTAAATACATTGTTTGTCATCGAAAGTGAGTAATAAATGGAGAGGTTTATGTTAAAACAAATCTATAACTAATAGCAAAACTTTGTGATTCTATATAGGTCCATGCCTTAGATAAGTGGTTAAGTTTTTTTCCTAAAACTAAAACAAAAGCCAAACAAAACAATCATTTTTTGGGTTCAAACAAACAAATAAAAAGTACAAATCAAATATAAGCTGTTGAAAGCAAATGTTTAGAATCGGTGATGCTAAAGGAACTATGAAGTCTACTGTGTAAAGGAAAAACAATATGATTCTTAATTTTAAGCTAAATTAATTCAAATTCAACTATAAATCGTTTTGATATCGGCTGAATGATTGAATTTGATCTTCACCAAATCTTTTGATTAACACTTTTCATGTACAAATGAATGAAGGCAAGTTCAGAAACTTAAAATTTATCAGGAATTTCACCACAATTGTAATCTAAGATCCTGCATATTGTAATATATATATATATATATATATATATATATATATATATATATATATATATATATATATATATATATATATACCAGACTAAAGAGAATTTTATCTAGGGCCGGTCCAAACGTATGTGAAACCTGGGATGAAAAGAAAAAAATGGCCCCTCAAAAAAAAAATATTAAAAAATATCATGTATTCTTCGGTATAAACGTCTTCAATTAGAAATAACAAGCAAACCAAATTGTTTATCTTTTGAGCTAATTTGAGTTTAAACCAACTTTATGCACTAAAATTCATTCGGTTAATATTTTTTTTAATAATATACACTACATTGCCCATAAATTTTGAGCCCCTGGAGACGTGGCGGTCGCCCGGGTTGCAGACCGTCTGGACCGGGCCTGATTTTATCAGTAGATGGGGGAAATCGATGATGAGGGTTTGCAGGAGAATTTGGTGGAAGAAAGGAGAGGTGATAGAGGTTGCACAACATCGAACAGGTGGAGGCATGAAGTAATCAGATGCGTGAAGATGATAGAATCGATGAAGATGGAATCAATTTTAGAGATGAGAAATCAGAAGCTTACCATCGATTTGGAGGATAGCGATGGCGACGAGGATGGAGGACGGAAGCGGCGACGAGGGTGGATTATGGCGACGTGGTCAAAGGCCGAATATTGCTTATCATCGCTGAGATGATGAGGATTTGGATGGAATATCGTTTGTTCAAAGGCCAGAGGAGATCGATGCAAAGGGTAAAAATGTGAAGTTCTCAGTCAGTTAATTTTTTTTCACCGACTCGGTAAGAAGAAAAATAATTGGGTCGGACCTTTATATATGCAAATCAAACAAATTGGGCTGGCCGAAACAGAGAAAAAAACTCTGACTTGACTCAATCATATTGAAATCAAACGACCCATACAACATACATAACATTAAAAAAAAAAAAATTAAAAATAGTTTTTGGAATAATTTACACTAAAATGTCAAAATCCTCATCCCTCCGATGTTAAAAAAGAAAATATTTTCAAAGGAAAAAGGTTTCCAAACATTTAATTTCTCTTCCAAATATTTAGAAAGATTTTATCCACAAAATCTTTCAATTAACCACAATGTCTAATTTACACAGGTCAAATTAATCCTTCACCTTCTCTTTTTCTCATTCGTATTCATATATTGATATATTCGCATTCATATTCTTAGATCATACGTTCATCTTCATATTCATCATCTTCTTCATCTTCATCTTCATCTGCGGGTGTTCATTCATGGCTCAACTCCCATCCAACCAACAAGTCAACCAATTAAAAGAAATCTTCACCCGCTTTGACCTAGATTCCGACGGCAGCCTCACCCATCTCGAACTCGCCGCCCTCTTCCGCTCCGTCGGCCTCAAACCAGGCGACGAAATCGACACCCTGATATCCAAATTAGACGCCAATGGGAACGGATCCATTGAATTTGAAGAACTAGTGAACGCCATTTTTCCCGATTCCAATGAAGAGATTTTCATCGACCAAGAACAACTCATGAAAGCCTTCCGATTGTTCGATAAAGATGGCGATGGGTCCATTACTCCTATCAAACTCGCAACCCAGATGGCGAAATTGGGCCACCCATTAACTTACCGGGAACTTAATGACCTGATGAATGATATTGACACCGACGGCGATGGCAGCATCAGTTTTCATGAATTTACGGCGGTGTTTGGGATGCCGGCGTCGGAATTCTTTGGAATAAGAACGCTTTAACGATGGTGATTGCCATTTGTGGTCATCCATATGCAGTTTCCAGTTTCCAAAGCATGTGGTTGTTCTTGAGGATTGACGATGAACATGGATGAATTTACATGACTCTTTTTATATTCTTAAAATTATCTTTTTGTACATAGTTATTTTTGCTTATTTTTGTATATAAGTTATATGTGTATCAACGAAGGAGAAGAAGAAATGCAAGGAGAATTCGCATTAAATAAACTCTTTTTCTGTATGTTTTCTTTTTCTTAACCAACTACATCATTTTATTTTGGATTAATATAAGGAACTGGTTAAAATGTTCGAGGAAAAAAAACACCATGAAGTAAAATAATTGGTATAGTATTAAAAAAAGATAAAAAGGTTGTAACACAACCATATAAATATTTTTGTCGCCGTCCTTAACCCTAATCCGGATTAACCATAAACGGATCAACCCATATAACTCATTTAATTACATGGGTTCGTGGGTTATACGAAAAAAAAAAGTCTAAATACCACATATTTATTTACTAGTTCTGAGATACGTATATTATACGGATTTGTTAAAACAAAAAATTAAATATAAAAGGTTTAAAAAAAATTATTTAAATTTGAAATTTTAGATTTGGTATTTAAAATTTAAAAATTGAATTTTGAAAGAAAAATTAATTACAGTATATGAATATGAATAGTTATATTGTAATTTATTGACTATTTTCACTTAAAACAATTATTAGTTGAGATGTAAATATCATGTATTAATTCAATGAAAAAACATTTATTCAAAAATATTAAAAAATACCATGTGTCAAAAGAATCACATATCACAATATTTTGATTTATTATGAATGAATAGTTCTTACTCTCTCTCCTATTAATAAATATATATTTTTAATTTTTTTTAGTCTGATACATTAAACGGTTTCAATGTCAACCCACGAATTATTTGCAAACCCAGTGGTAATTTTATAGTTAAACGGGCTACTTATGATGAACTCCCACAAGTTAACCCATTGGTATTTTCATAATCAAATGGGTTGCACTGATTAAAGTATAAAGCCCATCTATAAGAAAGAAGAACAGAAGAAACAATGAAACATACATAAAACATGAACTTAGAAGATCATAAAACCTTAATTTTGTCTTCGATCTATACACAATTGCTCTAATTTACAACAAAACTTTATCCGCTAAACCTTTAGCAATCGATCGACAATCATCATGTCGTCATACATCAACAATTAAAGAATAAAAATTGGTCGAAAAGACAACAACCACTACTACCAAAATCATTTCTGTACATTACGGTTGCATGTCACTAGACGATCGATCCATGTCCCATCTTTACATTAGATCCAGTCTCAGTCCAATGCATGTTAAACACAGTACAACAACCTGTTACATTTCACTGAACAAACGGGGCCCACACAACGCCACCTATGCGAGATCATGATTTCGACGCTTGTCGCTCCAAATTCAAATGATACAAATCATTGTCCCTTGCAATCGATCGAGCCGTGAACCCAACCGTTGTGGTCCGGATCGACCGCTGGCGGACCATGTTAACATACTCCGGATCATCGGTATGCCCTTCGTATCTTATCCATTGGATCATTCCATGGTAAGCCGGGAAGAATCTCATTTGAACCGCTTTGTAACAATAGTAAGGAATCAAGGCGGCAATCACCACATAAAATGTCACAAACCAATACGAAGGGGCGGGCGCGAGTGTTTCTAGAAACACGTTGTACGCGGTTGTTGAAATGGAAGTCGGCATCGCACCGTAAGCCAGGAGGAAGAGATACCAGAGGATAATTCCTCCCCAGATAAACACATGTTGGATTAGAGTGAAGTAGCTAACCGCAAGCGCCATCTGGCAGTTGACTACCCATACGACACACGTGTAGATTGTGGCCCCCACAACTTCCATCCCAGCTGTCTTCCCGTTCTTTCGGTATGACTCGGGGTCTAACGCGCGTGTACATAGGAAAAAGACGATTATGCCACTGGCTAACCCGTTAAGCATCCATCCGAATATTCTACGCCATCTGAAGAGCGTGTTCTGGACACCTTCTTGGTATAGCAACGGGAACTATCATATAAAAAAAAACAAATTAGAATCCGGTTGGAATGTGAAATGACTATAATGCCCTTAGACGGTTACAAGGGCAATTTGGTCATACCTTTAGGCAAAATCTTGCGGATACGTCTTGGTCGAAGACGCCTAATGCAATGGCGGGAAGTGATGTGAAGAAGACGTTGTAGAGAGACAAATACCAATCGTTATATGCGGGTTGACCCGAGAATGATGCGTAAGCTTCGTATAAGAACACTGTGGTTCCAAATACGATATTTTTATAGAAAAAATAGCATATCTGCAAAATTATATAGAAAAAGGTGTCATTCGATTATTCAATCGTGAAGAAAAAAGGGGCCTACAATTCGATTATAAAAAAAAAAAAAAAAAAAATCCTTACCATTGAAGAAATTCTTCGATAACACCAATGTCCATGAACCAATAGCAATCTTTCAAGAAACCGAAATTGAGCAATTGCGATATCACTCGACATAACCGCCTGTTTAACGAAACAAACACAAAATTATTTACAAAAATCGAAAGTATAATTTACATGAAATAAATATAATCCCAATTCCCAAGTACCTGCATTCCCTCGACACCACTGATTCCGATTCCGATGTCGGCTTCCTGAAGCATTCCGACATCATTAGCCCCATCACCGATTGCCAAAGTCGTCTTTCCGGTTCCCTCTTTCACAAGTCTAGTAACCAAAGCTTTCTGTTTTGGTGAAGATCTACAACAAATAACAGAAGCACACCCAACAGCGAGATCCAAAAACGTGTTTTTAATGTCATCATGTAACGCGTATGCGAGAGATTTCCCATCGATAATTAGAGCGTATGGATCGGATGATGAAGAAGAAAGTTGAGCTTTTCCTGCTAATATCTGTTTCTTCACATTTTCTTTCGACATCTGAAAGGGCAAAACCGTCATTTTCACTGTAAAAAGTAGTGAAGATAGCAAGGGATGTAGAAAGACGGACGTCCAACTTACCTTTGAAATTACGTCTTTGTCCCCGGCTTTTTCGGCTGATATGATTTCGGGGGATTCTAATGTGATTATAATTTGTTTCATTCCTTGTCTAAGCAAACTACAAGCGAATCTGAAAAATGTTTGATATTTAAACGTTAGATTTAAATTTAAAAAAAAAAAGTAAATTATTTAAAGTGGTAAATTAAGCTTTAAAAAAACACAAAAACTTACCCGATATTAATTGCAGTTTCCATTTTGTCACCAGTAAGAACCCAAATCTTGATTCCTGCTTGAGCAAGTTTATCAATGCATTCGGGCACCTTTTAAACAAAAGAACAAAATTAGAAACCAAAATTTAAGATTAAAAAAAAGGAAGTATAAAATTCTTGAATTAAAAAAAAAAAAAAAAAACTCACCCCTTTTTGGAGTTTGTCCTCAACAGCAGTAGCACCAAGAAGAATCAAATCTTTTTCGATTTCTTCGGTTGTTGCATCAATCAAATCTTCTCGATCTTCACTTACCGAGTTTTTAGCTTCTATAAATTTTTCATTAAATTCTTTATATTCTTCTTCATTAAGTTCACGATATGCAAGAATCAAAGTTCTTAATCCCGCATCTGCATACTCATTCACATGTTCTTTTGTATTTTCCTCAAATTGTCTCCCGTTTTTTGCAAGTCTATCAAACATAACACTGTAAAAAAACAATAATCACAAGGTTAATAACTACAACCAAAAAATTAAAAAAAATAAAGATTGAGTGAATAGTTTTCTTGTTACCTATCAGCACCTTTACAAAGTAAAAGAAGCTTCCCGAATTCATCACGAACAATAACAGACATTCTTTTTCTTGCACTATTGAACTCAAGAACATTTAAAAGCTCATAAGTCCTGAAAATAAACAATGTAAAGATTATTGATTTACAGTTTTTTAGAACTTTTTCAAGATTTGATACCAAAATTTACCCAAAAGGGTAAAAGGAAGAAAATAAAAAATATTACCTTTCGACTTTTTTCTTGGACATAGGATCTAACTCCATAAAAGAAACAGTTGTTTGTGTCCTTTTATAAAATTCAAATCCAAGTTCTCTAGCAGCTATAACAAAAGCAGCTTCATCAGGGGATTCAGCTTCATAAGTAACTCTCCCTGTTTCTTCATCAACATCAGGAATCGCTGTGTGACAAATCGCAAGTAATCTAAAGAACTTCTGAATAACATCAGAACGTGGTTCAAGAAGCCAATAGCCATTAACGATCCTTTCATCTTCAAAATTATACCCTTTTACAGATAACCCAGAATCATCGTCTTCATCACCATTATCGTCATCAAGAACTCTTCCATTAACAACCAATGGTGATCCTGTCTTTTTCGCCATAGCTCTTTCAACTTCTGTAACACCACGTCCGTATGCTGTTCCTGCTATCGAACACTTGATGAACTCCATTGAATTGCAGGTTAAAGTCCCGGTTTTGTCTGATAAAATCGTGTCGATTTGGCCGAGTTCTTCCGTGATATTTGAAGTTCGCGCGTGTGCGGGTTTATCAGCTTCTTCGTAGTACATATGAATGTCGTTGTTGATGAAAATCGTCTGTAGAACTTTCACGATTTCTATTGAAACGTATAGAGAAATCGGGATTAAATATGTGTATAACAATAAAGCTGTGAGAAAATGGAAAATCGCTGCAGCTGGAGCGCGTTTCGGGTCGAAAAAGATCTCTGAATCGTCGGGTCTCAAATACCATCGTTTCAATCTGTCACCATCTAAATCGTTTTTTGTAACAATCCCGAAGTAAATCGAACCCAGAAAAGCGATTAGAAACAAGATGAAGAACAAAAAATAGATGATGTTATCCATTCGTTTTTCAATCCCACTTCTTTTCGATGGTGGGTCTGTAGAGTTTTGAATCACTTTCGTATCGTGACCAGTGAAGATAACGACGCCATAGATGTAATCTGTGTTTCTGAGCTTTGAATCGCGTAGAAGAAGTTGTTGTGGTGAAAGTGCGTACTGTTGTTCTTGAAACTCCATTGTTCCAACGAAAGTGTAGAGACTTGCGTTTGGATCTTCGCATTTGACTGTTGCTTTGAAGCTGTTGATGTTTGAATCATCGTTGATCATGGAAGTTGCGTCTAACGATTGTTTTAGCTTCAAATTTGTTTCTCCATCTAAGTTCATCGTTTCAACGTAACAAACAGCATCTTCATAGCTCGATGAAATTAACAGAAGATCAGCAGGAAAGAATTCGTCTTTTTCGACTTTCACTACATCCCCTACTCTCAGTGTTTTCCATTCTCGAGATTCGAAAACTCCACCACCACTATGAACTTTCACCTTTCGATTATTCACCTCATGGTCCTGAAAAAAAGGTTCGATACACAAAAACGAATCAAAACCCACAAAAAACCAAAGATTCAAACTCCAAAATGAGCTGGATCTGACATGAATCGAAGAAAATTGGGAATATCAACATATGAACATATGAACACACCTGCTGTTGTCGTTGCCAATCTTCAATAGCTTCTTTCACCATGGTAGCACCAATGACAACGATTAAAGGAAGAATAGCGCTAACAGCTGAATAAGGAGCTAGAGCTGTAAAAGACAAGATACCAGTAACAAGAAAGTAGAAATTTGCGACTCTTCTGAACTGTTCAAACAGTGATTTTGGTATAAAAGTCATTGGCGTATATTTGGTTGATCTCACATAATTATCTACATAAATTTGAGTTGCAGCTTCTGAAACACCAGTTTCATTGCAATAAACCACTCTCGAAAACCCAGGACCCCCAATTTGTGAATGATCATCGTCGAATCTGTTTCTTCCACACTTGAAGGAGTAGATCTTGCTAAAATGTAACCTCCTTTTCCTTCCTGTCCCCATTTTTTTTCTACTTATGTTCTATGATACGAAGAAGAAGAAGAAGAAGAAAAAAAAACTCCAGAGTTCTTTCAAGAAACCTTGTTTTTACAGATACCCAAATGAGGAATCCCTCAAAAAACAACAAGAATTGGTGTTTTACTCACCTCCCAAGTGGAATTAATTAATGGGTTCAAGCAGAAAAGCTCAAAACCCCAGTAATTAAATTAAATAACCTAATCAAGAACTTATCAAAGTGTACTACAAATTCGTGAAAGTTACTTGACAATCTACAAATTGTTTGTGTCACGAAAACAAAGAGAAAGAACAAATGAATAAAGGGTTTTCTTTTTTCAACAATGGGAGCTAAATCCAAAGTCTATATATATATTCGGCATGATTGAAGAACAAGAAAAGGAAAATGTAAGGAAGAAGGTGGCTATATAATTTGATTTATTCTTAGAGCTCGAAAGGTTTGACCGAAGAATCAAACCATGGATCTCTTTCTGTGTCGCTTTCATGTTTTGACTTTAATAAGGCGAAGATGTTGATTAAAGAAATTTTCAATTTTTTTCCAACTAACACACAATAATCAAACCAATAACAATTAAAAAAATATCATTTCGATTCAATTTGATTATAATTCACAAAAAGGGGAGAGGAAGGTTCTAAAGAACCGAAATTTAAAGAAATACAGACTGTTCAAACTTCAAAGAGGGGTTCTTTTTCTGTTTTTCGAATTAATTTCAACTATTCACACACTCATATAATATTAATTTAATAATTGAAAAGAATATCCCGATAGAAATCTATACCTATTGCGTGAGAAGTGTCTCCTGTTTTCCCCCTTTTTGTATTTTGTAAAAGAAGCTTCAAAGAAGAACATACAGATGGATCTTTAAATTATGTACAGATGTTATTTTTCAGACTGATATTAATGAATTGTAGTACTTGTAAGTTGTAATCTATTCATTAAATGTTGTATTAATAACAAAAAAATGACTTTTAGTTCTATATAAATAGGTAGTTATTGTAAATGGGTATGGAAATTATTTTAGATATGTGTAAACATTTCTCCATGAGAAAACAAACCTAATGTTCTTCCATGTTTTGCCATTTCAAGAATTTCTTTATTTTGGTATTTCCTAAAATATACTTTCTTGTTTCTGTTTTAAGATATTGATTTCAATGAGAAAGCAAAACATTTATGTAGGTAAACCTTGTCCTGTTGTCCAGATTAAAATATTGTAAAACTTGATTATTAGTTAGTAATATAAATTAAATTAGAAAACTACATGAAACAATCCATCTTCATTAGAAGAAAATTACAAATATATGAGAGCACATTTCCGTTTATATTAAGATTGTCTTTTAGTATACCAAAAATCATGAAGTGTCACACTAAAGATAATTTTTTCTAGATACGGTTCTAGTGTTAGGTTTACAACAGTAATGAAGCCACAACCTTATATAAAATAAAGATGGTTAGTGTTCAACACAAACTATATTGACATGAAAAAAATTTTAAAAACTCTCTACATATGGATTATCTGTACATTTTTTCTAATAAATGACAATTATTTTGTCACCTGTCATCTTCTAATGTATTATACTATTTGATTTTTTCTTATTATTTTCATTTTATTTTTTTATATGTTATTTTATGATTTTTTTTTATTTTATTAAATTTCACATAATATTTAAATTTAAATGTAATAATAAATGCATATTAATTTCATTAATTAACTTTCTTTTTAATTTCAAAATTACTAAATTAAAGTTTTATTAGTTTTACTTGTTTATTTATCTAAATTATTTGTTTAAATCTAAAAGAAAAAACATTTTAATTTTAATAATTCAATATTTTTCTTATTTTTTTTCTTATAAATTCAAACTTCAAATGTTTAGAATTTCAAATATAAATTTTCTTTTAAATAAACTGATGTAATAAATGAGTCTGACATCTGATCAACTCTAATAAATGAAAATGTTTTTGTCATATGCTACACTCTTATGCAAATTGTTAAATGTTACTTTTTGTTTATTTTGAATTAATATTTTTTTTGCATGTGATTTTATGAGTTTTCTTATTTTATAAAATTTCATATAATATTTTAATCTAATAATTACAATAAATGTAGTAATAAATGGATATCAGTTTTATTAATATATTTATCTTCTAATTTCAAAAATTTCAAATTAAAGCTCATTAATTTCTTTTATTTATTTATTTAAACTATTTGTTTAAATTTAAAAGATAAAAAAACATTTCAATTTTAAAAAATTATAATTTTTCTTATTTTCTTATAAATTTAAATTTCTCAAATATTTAAACATTTATGTTTAAATTTTTTTTAATTAACTCATGTAATACATGAGTCTCACAACTAGTAACTCATATATCTATTCTTTAAGGTTTTATGTCATTTTTAGTCACTGAAATTTAGTGTTTTATGTTGGTCATTATACTTTGTTTAAGTTATCATTTGTCATTGAACTTGTTTATTTGTTGTGTTTGATAAGTTGTATTTTTTTTTTATCAATAATTACTATCTTTATCCCCTACTTTTTGTTACATGAGACAAAGGACATACAATTGTTCGTGTCTGAACACGTGTCTTGTAACACCTAGAATCAGGAAGACCAAGAAAAGAAAGGTTAGGCTCTAAATCAAGAGTCAGCTCGTCGAGTCCAGGGAGGAACTCGATGAGTCGGAGCGGGATCCGGGTCATTGAGTAAGTAACCGACTCGGCGAGTCAGCGAGTGGACTCGGCGAGTCTGGTCTGGGCGAGAAAAACCCTAATCCCAGAGGTTGTGCCCTATATAAAGCACATTATAACCCACCCTCAGCCTCTTTGCTCCCCTTTTAAGTTCCAGAAACCTTAGAATTGAGTGAGCCTTCATTATTTGAGAGAATAGAGCATTGGAGGAGAGAATCTTGGAGAGGGGCTTGAAGATCAAGGGCTTTGCTGCAAAGGAGTGGTGTAGATCCGAGATTTACTTCAGTTGGAGCTTTCATTTGAGGTAATAGTTTGTTGTTTGGGCTTATGTGCATCTAGATCTATCTTATGTTTGAGTTTTGGGCATTTTAAGTGTGGATGAGATCTATTTCGAGTTTGGAGTAGATCTGAGGTTGCTACCTCAGATCTAGGTTGGTAATAACCTAGAAAGTCATAAAGTTTAGGCCAATAAGTTGTTGGTGAAACCCCTTTGTTACAAACCTTTGCCCTAGAGTGTTCTAAGTCTATAACTCCTTGGTTACACGTAAAGTTTGCCACTTTACGTGGGGGTTAGGCTCTAAAGGAATGGATCTATGGATTTAAGCCCCTGCATGGCTCGAAAAGCCACTATATGGATTAAGAACTAAAGAGACTCGGCGAGTCACATAGGTGTACTCGGCGAGTTGTATGATCATGAGCATGAACTCGGCGGGTTCGAAGAACAACTCGGCGAGCCTGTTGAAGATTGCCTTGGACTCGGCAAGTCTGTTCTTGGACTCAGCGAGTCAAGTCGCGAAACCCCAAACCCTTCGAGTTAAGAATCGGATCAGTGAGTTGAGTAAGGACCCAGTGAGTGGACAGGTCAGGACTCGGAAATCAGTAGACTCGGTGAGTCATGGTCTGACTCAGCGAGTCGAGTCGCGAATGAAAGAGATTTAAGAGCTTATGAACTCGACAAGTCAGTAGGCTGACTCGGCGAGTAGCGTCAACCTGGAAGGTTGACTGTGACCAGGACTTTGACTTTGACCATAGTTGACTTAGTAGACTTTTGAAGGGCTGTCAGACTAAGTGATATATTGTTATTGGTAGCCCGAAAGCTATAAGAGCAACGCCTCAGAGGGTTGTCGGTTAGCAGCCAGAGGGTTATCAACAGAGCTCAGCAGTTCAGGTGAGTTTCCTTCCAGTAGGAACGGGTCTAAGGCCACAATACTGGACCGTTTAACTAGCAGTAGTTTCCGGACTTCGGTCCGATGCAGTAGTTAGGATGTATGATGCCTTCGTGGCTCATACATGGTTTATGTGTTATGTGTTCCGGGCTATGGCCCGATGAAGTATGCAGTTTATGTGTTCATGTTAGTTGATATGTTATGATATGCGATGTTCAGTTAGATCCGGATTTCGGTCCGATGCAGTCAGTTTCGGACTTCGGTCTAATGCAGGGGACAAGGTCCCAATTAGTCCGGACTTCGGTCCGATGTAGGGGGCAAGGCCCCAGTTAGTCTGAACTTCGGTCCGATGCAGGGGACAAGTTTTCCAGTTAGTTTCCGGATATCGGTCCGATGTAGGGGCAAGGCCCCAGTTAGTCCGGACCTCGGTCCGATGCAGTGGTCAAGGCCCGGTATGTGCTTATATGTTTGTATGGTATGTGCTAGTTTAGGGGAGCTCATTAAGCTTCGTGCTTACGGTTTCAGTTTTTGGTTTCAGGTACTCAGTTTTCAAAAGAGGATCTCGGAGAGGTTGCAGTGCACACACCATAGCCAGTTAGCCTGGGATGTTTTACTCTTATAATAAGTTATGCTTGAAATTAATACTACGAAATTATGTTATGACTTATGATACGGTTTTTATAAATGTGGTTTTAGTAATGTTTTAAAAGAAATTTTTAGTCGTGAAAATTGGGTCGTTACAAGTTGGTATCATAGCCTTGGTTTGAGGGATTCAGACACACTTGAGAGTGTGTCTGGACTCAAACTATGGAAACGGTAAAAGGTTTTCAAAAGAAAAACATTTTCGAAAGGAATTTTTGGTAAAGGAGTTTGAGAAAAGAAAAAAGTTTTAGAAAAAGCAAAAAGAATATCTAGAAAGAAAATAATTTGAAAAAAGAAAAGGGGTGTGGTGCATGCAATCAGCCGAGCTCAAGTAAGTACTCCCCAAATTACCCATACAAGTTTATGATTTTCAGTTTCAGTTTTAGTTCTAATTTCAGTTTCAGTTTTAGTAGAACAGCTTGCTAGTATAGGACTAAGGATCTAGGAGGATGCCTTATGTGCCTGCTTATGTGTTTCAGCCTTATGAGAATTGCATGCTAGTATTGAGTAGACAGCAGTAGGATAGCCTGTTTAGGTTATGCCTGATAGTATGAGTTCAACATTGTATGCTAGTACAGTTTCTTGATTATGAGAATAGTTTGCATGAGTATGTTTCCTTTATCCAAATGCTGCTTGCTCTGTGCTTAGTGGGAATCTGAATGATGGGAGTTAGCCATTAGGTGAATACGTCACATCACATGTGATCAGGGTTGAATAATCTCAGAGTGCTGAATTTGGCCTTATTGTGCAGCTCTCGTCTGAGTCTAACCGTTGTGGGGAAGAGTCTTTTACTCGAAGGATTATCTGAGCCTCGTCACATGTGATGGTATTCAGGTGGTGGCTAATTGGCATTACGAGGAGGCCTTCAGCAGCTGAGGACTGTTTGGGTGGAATCAGAGGTTCCCTAGGGCAAGCCTAGGATGTGAGTAGAAAATATTAGCAGTAGAGAAAAGGGACTTGGGGGAGTTGAGGTAACTCTTGAGGAAAGTACGGATAGATATGGAAGGTAGTATGGGCCCGTACTACTGAAAGAAGAGGATTTGTACTCGATTCAAGAGGGGCCGAGGCAAAACCAGAGAACTAGTAAAGTGTGTGAAAGATTCCTCTGCAGCGGTATGTATATTGATCAGATTTGTGATGTGTTTCCAGCATGGTGACGTTGCGTGAGATATTAGTTGGCAGTTCAGGTGCCGGGGAAGGATCTGGCTCAGGCTCTAGAGCTGGACAGTTTGATGATCAAATGAGAGATGTTATTTCTGCAGAGATTATGAGCAACATCATTGATTAGACTCCCGTGATATTTGGTTTAGTTAGGGAGGCCATTATGGAGCTTTTGGATAGTCGTCTTGAGGCTTTTAGGGCCGGGATAGTTTCAGGGCAGCTTGGGGCGCGTCTAGGGCCTGATTCTTATGGAGTTTAGGGATCCATCAGGGAGGGAGAT